GTTCACTTTGCGAATTTTGTCGTACCTCTTGGGGGGATTCCTTCTCTTTCTTGGAGGGTGGTACCTCAGCACTTGTCTCTTGCAGGTCTTGAGGCCCTACAGCCCCACTTTTGTAGCCCTTCCTTGCTTTCTCCTGCTTCTCTTCCCACTGTCTGGCTTTCCCTTTGACGACCTCGGCTACGGCCTGGGACAGGTGGTGAGCCCTGTGGGCCCTGGCTCTCCTGGAGCCTCCTGGGGCTCCTGGGGTGCCTGGGGTTCATCCTGCCAGGCAGAGGTCCCTCCCCACCGGGCCTCTCTCCCTTGGAGACAAGGAATGTTTCAGGGGTCCACCCATCTCCTACCTCTTCATTACATATCTGCCCAGATTTGTCTGGGTGACATAGGTCCAAGATCCTAGGTGATGACCTGTAGCCCCTGGGGGCATCCCCCACCTCAAGCCTCTCTGTGACCTTTGTCCCCAGGCTTCACCCTCCTGCAGGCTCTCCCTCGACTCCCTCATGGGACTACACAGGCAGTGTTCCCCTTGGAAGTTAGCAGGGGGCAGGGAATGTGGGGTATACTGATGGGCTCGGGTGGGGTGGCCAGAGGATATGAGGGGTTCTCCACTGTGTGGGGTGCCCCATCCCCCTTGGGAAGCTCTACTTACCCTCTCCTGGGAGAAAGGACATCCCTGGGAGGGTGGACTGTGGGTCCTGTCCAGATGGCCCCTTGGCCTGCATTCCTGTTTTTAACCGGCTTTCACCTGAGACTGCTTCCCACCTCTAAAGCTGGGCTATGTGGTACAGTGGCCACGGGCACTTAACATGTGACCGGTGACACTGAGATGTGCTGTGAATCCAGGAGACATGCCGGGTTTCTCAGAGTTAGCACAAAACAGAATCCAATTCATAATTTTTTATACTGATTACTGTTGAAATGATGTTTTGGATAGGTTAGGCTAAGTAAAGTTTACTATTAAAATCTGCTTCATGTTTCCTTTTACATTTATAACATGACTATTAGAACATTTACAGTGGTGTCATAACTTGCATTTCGTTTCCCCAGGGTGGTGGTGCCTTGGCGGCCCCTGTACCTCTCAGAGCACACGCTCATGGAGTGTAGGAGCACACACTCATTGAGCGTCCCGTCTCACGTTAGGGAAGGTCTGCTCAGGCCGCCTGTCCTTGGGCTCTCCCTGGGACGGCGCAGTAAAAATTGAAGTCATTCATTTCTGGACACTTTGTGGAGGCCTGTTCTAGTCCCAGCCACCTGTTTCTAAGAGGATGATCCCAGTGTGGTAAGGCACTCACTCCTGTGGGAAGCCGGGCTCTGGGGCCCAGTGGGTGACCTGCCATGGTGCCTTAGCACCTGCCACCCCCAGTGAGTGCTGGGTGGAACCCTCAGCCTTGCCAGGAGGCCATATTCCATGAGACCCTAACATTTATGAAGAGCTGGTGGGTGGGGTAGGGCTCCTGCCTGAGGTTCCTGCTCGGGTGTGTGTGGGGCAGTGGGAGGGCTGGGAGCAGGAGGCAAGGGATGCCCCCCCACCTTGACTGGTGGTCTCTGTCCTGAAGCACCTCCCCTGTACCTGTTGCTCCTGGTCTCAGGCCTCCCCCTCCTCAGAGCCCACTCCTTGTCTTTCTGTGTCACAGATTCACCTTCACCAGTAAAACTTGAGCCAGAAAATGGCTGGAGGTCCAGTGTGGCCCTCGAGGGATGGTTCTGTGCTGGGTTTCGGTTAACATCACAGTTGTTTTTGCTTGCAGATGAGCTTAGAACATGAGGATAAGCGGGCTCGTACGCGATCCAAGGCCCTCCGAGGTGAGTGCCGTCCCCTCCCAGCTGGGTCTGGCTGTGAGTCCCAGGTCCTAAAGCAGTAAATGTCACTTTCCTCAGGAAAACAGAACCCCACAGTGATGACCAGGCCCTGGGATGCTCCTCCCCTTACGCTGGGCAGTTGGGGTCCATGGTGTCTGGTGGCTTCAGGCCTCTTCAGCCTCAAGGTGCCTAGGAGGGCTGCTGTGGGGCCCAGACAAAGCTGCCTGGGGTGGAGGTGAGGAGGCAGGCAGTCCCACAGAGTGGGGAAAGCAGAGCTCGCCCAGCAGACCTTTCTGTTTGGAACTGAGATGCTGCCAGGCTCCCGTCACCAGCCTCCTTGCCTCCCAGGACGTCAGTCTTGGTGCTGGATGGCCATGGGCACTTGTTAGATTTAACTGGCAGTGGGGTGGGGAGACAGGGAGCCAAGGCCCTGCTGAACCCTTGGCCAGCCTCACCTCCCTGACTCCATGAGCACACACGGGCCAGGGCTGCGTGTCCCCGTGCATGGGTGGCCTTCACGGAGGGGCAAGAACACTGAGCTTCTCAGGTGAGCTGCCCAGTTGGACCATGGTGCATGTTGCCCCCGGTGGCCTACATCACTGAGGGACCAGCCGCTCGGCCCATCTGTTCTCTCTGTCCAGCTTTATCTGCTGGGTCAAGTTTCCTGCTGGAAGCTGACTTCTAGCTGCAATTAGAGAAAGGGAAACCATCCTGGCCCCGAGGGCCCAGAGAGCCTGTATTAGGTGGGGCGTCTGACCCAGTCTGCAAAACTACCAGCCTTTCGTGGGGAGAGTCTGGCACAGCATCAGGTTAGAGGTGGCAGCTCGCTGCACTGGACCCTGCAGGACATACCAGGAGGTCAGGAAAGGACGGGGTTCCATTCTCACTGGGATTGCCTCCGCTTTTTATTCCATTTGTGCCATGAGGGCGATGTGCCTTTTCAATTCGGACTCCCACATGTGTTTCCCTGTTTCTCTCTTTCTCTCACCCAGTGCCCCCAGAGCCCACAGGTGCCGACCTCAGGTAAGAAAGGCTTTCTGCTAGCTCCCAGCATTGCGCATGCCTGTGACCCCGAACACCCAAAATGTCCCACACTGGGCACTTTGGACTGACTAAGCACACCCCTGAACCCCTTTCCTCCTCGCCATGAGTCCAGCTATCTTCACCCTTCTCAGCCCTCCCTCCACCTCTGTCCTGGCCCTACCATGCAGCCAGCCTCGACACAGGGGCACAGATACGCTCGCATCTGGTCACCACCAGGCCCTGGTAGTCCCCACGGTCCCCAGCCAGCAACAAGGTGCTGTGTTAGTGGGCTCTCACAAATGCTTCTGTGTCTGGTGGTTTGGCCAGAGTTGAGGAAGCTGGCTGTCCAGGTCCCAAGTTTTCCGCTGACTCTAGATGCAGACAGTGTTTTTGTGTGTTGGTGATCTTGTAATGGCTTAGCCCTGTGACTTTCCAGATTCTAGGTCACGTCTCACAAGGCATGAGCACCCTGAGGAGGAAGGGAGGACAGCCTACTGCGGAGATTTGCTGGGTCAGGGCAGAGGGGCCAGGCTCTCCTCCCCAGAGGTCGACTTGCCCTCACCTGCTTGCTTCTGTCCTGGGCTCGGCTCCTGGGGCTGTGGGGGGTGGGGGTGGGGGAGGCCAGAGAGAAAGCCACCCCAGTGCTTGTGTGTAAGGACTGCTCCCCCAGCACCACCCACACATCCTTTGGACTCGCGACTCTGTGGGCCTGGGCTCTTCTGGTGCCAGCCCTCAGTGCTGTTTTGCTCAGACAGCGCTGATGACGTCCTGCAACCAACCAAGAAAATCAGCCCCTAGTTCTCCCCACCTTTTCTGAGGAGGGGTAGTGCCAATGTGTTCTGGCTCAAACACGAGAGAAGAAAGGGAAGTGATGTTGTTGAGGGTCCCAGTGTGTCAGGTGGGCACCAGGGGCCCCATTTAATTTTCACAAATTTCCTGTGAGACGAAGCCAGACTTGGACTGCAGCTGAGGTCACCTGCCAGAGGCTCATCCTTGGAGGAAGGAAGGGCTCCAAGCCCACCCTCTTTCCAATAGCAGCTCTGGTGCTGAGCACACCACAGAGCCCCCAGTGCCCCCCGCACCCTGAGACAGTGGGCAAGGACTGTATCGGCTTGGTGCTCTGTCCATGCTCAAGGGCCACGGGTGACAACCACACCCCAGGGGGGGTTTCTGTGATCTTCCAGACTCCCAGCTGGGGACGAACAGAACAGTCTAGTTTCTGAGGGTCAGTGATGTTCCTTCCCTGCTCTCTCTGCCACCAGCCTGGAACAATTCTTCCTACGTAACTGCGTCAATCCAGGACATCAGCGCTTCTCAGTTCTTAGGGGGAAAGATTCTCACTAAACTGAACAAGCCTGGGGCCAGGACTGTCATCGTCGTCTTCTTCTTCTTCTATTTCTTCTTCTAAATTTATTTTTATTAAAATTTTTTTTTCAATGCTTATTTATTTTTGAGAGACAGAGAGACAGAGCATGAGCAGGGGAGGGGAGGAGACAGAGGGAGACACAGAATCCGAAGCAAGCTCCAGGCTCTGAGCTGTCAGCACAGATCCCGACTGGGGGGCTCGAATGAACTCACCAACTGTGAGATCGTGATCTGAGCCGAAGTCAGACACTTAACCGACTGAGCCACCTAGGTGCCCCGTCTTCTCCTCCTCTTCCTCCTCCTCCTTCTTCTTCTTAATGTTTATTTATTTTTGAGAGAGAGACAGACAGAGCGTGAGAGGCGGAGGGGCAGAGAGAGAAGGAGACACAGGATCCGAAGCAGGCTCCAGGCTCTAGGCTGTCAGCACAGAGCCCAACGTGAGGCTCAAACTCATGGACTGTGAGATCATGACCTGAGCCAAAGTCAGACGCTCAACTTACTGAGCCACCCAGGCACCCCAGGACTGTCTTATTCTTCACCAGACCTGTTGATGAGTGGCTTTTGCCAGCCAGGGAAAGGAGAGGACCCCAGAGTGTCCCAGCATCCCTCTAACTGTTGAGGCTATAAGTTGGTAACAGAAAGGAAGGGGCACAAAGGGAGGCCACATACTCAGAGCCCAGGTGTGTGGCGATCTCTGCTATAGCTGCACAGCATAGTGTTGCTCTTAGGACACGGTTCCCAGGGCTATTATTGTCCTGTTTGTGAAGTGGGGAAACTGAGGCTCAGAGGGCTAAAGTTTGTCCAACCACAAGAGCTGAATCACACACTCCACTGCTCAAAGCCCTAGCCTCGGTCACAGGGTGGGAGGGTGAGGGTGGAAAGGCAGCCAGACCAGGCCGATGGAAGCTGCACAGAACACGCTTTCCCTGAGCACAGGGTTAGCTCGCTGGAGGGGAGGTGCCCTCTCTGATGGGTGGGGCAGTGGATGGATGCTCAAAGGGGCAGGGGCACAGGGCGAGAGCTGGTTTCCAGGAGGAGGTACCACTTCCCCTGGGCCGTGTGACGTTCAGTGGGGACATCTTCAGGACAGTGAAGGGGAGGAGGCTGGGCATAGCACCTGAGGAAGCTCTGGGGTTTGGTAATAGCAGTTAATTTTGGCGAGAGGTGAAGTTACGGCGGCAGTTGGAAAGGCAGATCCAAAGGGCTAGGTATTCTCTCATAATTCTGCAATAGCAGAACTAAAAATGACTCTGAAAATAGATTTGTTTTGAAATATTCTCAGAGAGGACCCAGCCAGTGTATGGGAGAGGGTTGCGTGAGCACCTTCATTTTTTATGTGGTCTCAACCTATTTACTTGGTGATAGTGAGACCCTTATATTTTTTAGTGGGGAAACTAGGGACAAACGCATTGATGTCTGCTAGCAGCAAGGTCTTCGGCAATTCTTCCGGTTTTGGGGAATGGCTGCTTGGAGTGAAATGGAGGGGTCTATGCCAAAAAACTGCCCATGTCCTGCCGGGAAGGTGCCAGTCACTCCTGTGTTCACAACCGTGCACCGGCCGTGAGCTACACGTGGGGTTGTGGTCTGTGGTGCCCTCGCGGCTCTCACCCCTTTATTTGCACATCAGCCGCCCTAGGCACCTTTGCGCCACAAGAATGGGCAAATGCTGCGAGCCAGGACTTCCTCCCCCTCTGGCACGGTAGCGGCTGTGCTGCACAAGCAGAAGAGACCCCCGTCCTGGTGAGGTGTACACGAAAGACGCAAGCACAGGGAGAGAACTCGCTGGGACCTGGAAGAGAAACGTTGTGATGTTAGACGAAGTCATGCAGCATCACTGGAAGGGGGGCTGCGTTAGGGTGAAGCTCCACTTGGGGGCTCGCCACACGGATGAGGGAATGATGCCTCCCAGAACTTGCTGCCATCCCCTGCTCCAGTCTGTCTCTTCCCCAGCTCACGCAGAGCTCCCAGGAAGCTGCTTGTTCTCGGGGCAGTGGCATGGCCGCTGTTGTTATGAGAGCAGAGCAGAAGGTTGGCCAGGAGTGGGTGAGGCTCTCATCGCCTTCTCCCGCCTCTGGAGCCCACTTTGCTGCTCCGTGCCCTGAAGTTAATACTGAGCGCCCAAGAGAGAGCAAATGGATCTGGTGTTTTTCCCCTTCACGTTAGTAAAGAACCAATAGACACTTCATTTGTGTCTTGGTCTGGGCCCATCTGCCGTCACACAACCTCAGAGTGACTCTGCTAGAGGCGACGGCTAGTGTGAAGTTGGGGCACCCAACTCCTCTGCAGACGGAAGCGGTTGGACCCCTTCTGGAGCCGCCTCCAGGTTCCAGGAGAGTTGCCCATCTGTCACCACTGCACCCTGGTTCCCGCCCAGCCCACCTGACCTCAGCTGAGGGCCTCCTGTGAGCCAGTGGTCAGCTCCTGCCTGTGGGACAGATGGGAGTGGGGGCGGAGTTCTCCACCTGTCTCCAGGGGGCTGGAGGGAGGCCAATCCCTTGGAGGAACGGGAGCTGAGTGTGGGGCTCCAGCTGGGATCTGGGCTCCTCCTGGCCTCGGCCTCGGCCTCGACTTCCCTTGACACCTGTTGTCTATGTTCAGACACCTCAGAGCGGTGGCCCGGACCCTGCTCAGTGCTGACTGTGAGTAGGCAGTCTGTGAGCCTTCCTGACCATCTCTCCATCTCTGCCACACTCAGGGAGCCTGGGGGGTTCAGGGACAGGGTTTGGCTGGGTCTTCCTCATCCCACATGCTGGGAAGAGGCTCCAGATGCCTGGAGCTGGTGCTGCTTCCACACTCTGGCCCTGAGCACCCTCTGGGCCTCAGCGACGCCACGCTGGGGAAGCTTGTAGGGGAAGCTGTGTGAACTGGGAGGCATAGGCCATTGGCATCGCAGCCCCTGGGCTTTGGTCAGGTCTCACGTTGCCCTTGTTGGACGTTCCCTTGGCTGCTGCGTGGGGGGCAGGAGCGTGGGGGTTCCAGCCTCTCCTCCCAGAGTGGCCCTCACCTGTTCCACACACGTGGGTTCCCAGCCTATCCTGCTCCGTTTAGGCTGGAGGCCAGGACTCTTCTGAACTGGCGGGTGGAGGTGTGGCTTGGAGCTGGTGACGTGTTTGGGGGCAGTGCCAGTGGCCTGCAGGCCTCCACGGCAGCTGTCACATAATTGCCTGATTAACTCAGTGATTAATCGGCTAATTGGGACCTCAGCTTCAAATCCCCAATAACAAGGACCTTTTGTGAAAAGTCTCAAAGCTAGCTCTTGAGAGAGTGAAAGCAAGCATGGGGCATAGATTTTAGAATAGACAGGCTGGGGGCAGCGCTAAGTCCTGTCTGTCTGGAAAGGAAACCCACAACGAAATGTGGCACGTCTTCCCTCCCTGTCTCCCATTCTCTCCCCACTTCCTCCCTTTCCTCCTTTCCCCTTCTTCCCTCTCTCCTTTCCTTTCTAACTTTTAAACGCATGAAAACCAGCACTGAGATCAGCCATGGTGGCCATGGGCTGCAGGGAGGGCCTCAGGGACACTGTTGCTTCCCCTTGCTACCCCGAGGGCTGTTGGTGAGCTCAGGGTGGGTGGGGCTCTGTCTGCACAGACTGTTCTGTTTCTCCCCGACCGGTTGATAAGTGTGGCCTGCGTGGCTACTTGGGCCCACAGTGCTCTGCAGTCAGGTCCGTGATCAATCAAATTAGAAACTATCAGGTGTGCCTAGACAGAAGTCTAGGGCCATGCCCCTTCTGGGGCCCACCCCGTCCTTCCCTCGCAGGATCTGGGAAAGCCTGATCTGCGGTGGGGAGCTCTGACCCCGTGATGCCAATCCTAGATCTAAAACCTAAAAACAAGGTCTTCCTGTCTTGGGCACCTGGGGATGGCCCCCCTCCCAGGAGGAGCTCAGGTGCCCCTCCTCTGGGTGATCTCCCATGCTGTCTCTGTTTCTCCGGGCATCAATTTGCCATTCCGGACAATGAGGTGATGGCAGCTACTTGCAGTCTGTGGCTTGTGGATGTGCTCAGCAGCCCACAGGACCGTGGCCTCGCATGGAGCTGACTCTAGAAGAGGGTTGGGTGGCGTACCCTGTGCCCACGATCAGAAGTTTCCAGAGCTTTCTGTGGTTTGGTTCAGTGGGGAGACAGATGACAGTGGAGAGTGGTGAACTCCTGGGGGCCGCACCTTTAACCGCATTTCCTGGCCCCTGGGGGGGAAGCACGAGGCCCAGCAGCACCCCCACCCACATCTTACGGCAGTCTCTGGGTCATCAGCCTTCCTGGACTCACCTTCCTGCACCAGGCTGCAGGTTCTGGAGAAGGGTCGCAGCTGGGGGCCTGTAGCTTGGGCCAGGCCTGGATATTTACATAGAGCCGTTCCTGCCTGGAGGTACTTGCTTACTTTGCCAGGCCAAGGGCATGCCTGGCAGGGGCTGCAGGCCTCACAGCACCAGCGATGGCCATGGAGAAGCCCAGTGTTTCTGCTCTGCCCTTGGGCCAGCCTCAGGTGCTGGTTCTGGGGGCTCCACAGAGGGTCCTGTGTCCCAGCTGCTTGGAAGCCTGCAGTTCGCCTGCAGTGGGAAAGACTTATCCACAGAAAAAAGAAGCCATCTAGGAGGCGCCGATGTTGGAAGTCTTGGTCTCGTACATACAGATCTTTAATTAAACACACTCATAAAATTGTAACGAACCATTCGTTTATTTAAATGGGGTGAGTTATTTCATTAATTTTTAGCAAACTGCAAGCAGCCATTCTGAGACGCACTGTTTGGAGACAATCTTCTGCTCCTCAGGGTGAGGGCCTGGGGTGGGCGGGTCCTTCCACTGAGTGACCAGTCCTGCTTGTCTCCCCCCAGCTGCCCCACCCCAGGGTGCACCGGCTCAGGACACATCCGGGGCAAGTACTCCAGGCACCGCAGGTAAGGTAAGGGGGTTCCTGGGAGAGATGTTGGGCTGCTGGGGAGCTGGAACCCCACTCCTGGCCCTTTGTAGATCTAGAACCTTCCATTTCCACCTGCGGCTGCTGAGGCCGGTGTGGTCATGGCACGTCATACCGCAGTCTCTCTGTTGGGGGCTGTAAGGCTGGATGAGTCCATGGGGGAGAGCTCAGAGCAGACCTCGTACACACTGATGACCCAAATGACCTGGTTGTCATCCTGTTGTCATCCTGGGGTGTCAGCTTGACTTCAGTGGGTGAGGGTGTGCAGGGTCTGGAGGTGGAGAAGGAAGGGCGCCGGGGACCCTGCTGACCTGCTTGGTGGGAGGAAGCGGGCTGTGTCCGACAGAGGGTGTGAAGCAGAGCTGCCTGGGGCCAGTCCCCTCCCCCTCCCAACAGGGGGTGCCGTTGGGATGGGACTGCTGAGGTTAGGTCTCATGAGAGAAGCAGGAAATAATCTAAGTTTTTAATGTGGACAATTAATGTAAAATTTTAAACACATCAGCCTGCCAGTCTTGAATGTGGGGCTTCTGGCTTGGGTTGGTGATGAGACGCAAAGACAAACTTTCACAACAGGGAAAGGGGCTGCGGAGGGTGAGGGGAGGAGCCGGAGGGAGGACCCCCCAGGGGGTGTTGACAAGGTGGCCCCTGGCCTGGTCTCCTTCCTCCCAGTTTGCAGAGCTGCCCTCTGGCCAAGAAGAGGAAGCTGGAGGGTGCCCAGCCAGAGCACCTGGTGTCCAAGCGGAAGTCCCACCCCCTGAAGCTGGCTCTGGACGAGGGCTACAGTGTGGACACCGACGGCAGTGAGGATGCTGAGGTGAAGGACGCCTCTGTTTCGGATGAATCGGAAGGAACTCTGGAGGAGGACGAGGCTGAAATGTCAGGACAGGAGGAGATTCATCGTCCTGAACCAGCTGAAGGTGCTTTGTGGCTCTTTCTCCCCTGAAATAAAGGGCGCTTAGTGTGGCCCTGGAGAATCACAGCCTGTGAGTGGGGAGGGGGCCCACTCTGAGTTAGTGAAAGGGCTGCCGAGGAAGCCATTCCTGAGAACAAGCGAGGTCTTGTCCTGACATTTGTTGGGGCTTCCTGGAGAGGGGCTGGTACAGGGTGCTTGGGGGGTCTGTGGGCGCATCTCTGTGCGAACACTGTGTGCATGACTGTGGATGCGTGCCTATGTGCATATGAGAGATGGATGGACAGATGGACATGGGCTGTGCGTCTGTGCTTGGGGGAGGGTCTCATGTACAGCAGAGGGGGATAGACCCCACTCCACTTGGCGCTGGGAAAGAATAGCCTGGGGGTGGGAGTGAGGGGTCTGCTTGGCATCAGATGAGCCTCTGTGGGGGTGCCCAGGGAAGCCTGGAGTGGCAGGGGGAAATGAAGGGATTCCTTGTTTCACTTTCTTCCCTGTGGGGCTCAGCAGCACCAGCCTCGTTGGGGCACCCAGACTTTGGCAAATGCTGGTGTAAAAGTGTCCATGTCCCCCGAGAACACCGGCAGACTACAGAACCCTGGGGGTGGGACTGAGACCTGAGGTCCAAATCCCCCAGCACCCCCCACCCCAAAGCTGCCTGTGTCTTCTGAACCTGCAGGGTCTGAGATGGAGCTTTATTTTGTTTTGGAGCCAATTCAGGGAGAGTCCTTACACCCACCTCCCTCCCGAATCTTCGGTTGTGTCTCAAGCGGTGTGTGGCCCCAAGGGCTCTAGGTAGAAAGGACTAGCTTGCCTGCTTTCTTACCGAGGAGTGAGTTTGGGGTCCGGGCACCGGCCCTGGCTGGGCTCCTCTGGGAATGGTCAGACAGCAGGGCTGGCTCCTGTACCCTGGACACTCCTGCCGACTGTCCTCCAGGGCCTGTGTGTGGCGAACACCTGCTACATCATAGCCATGGCAGTTAAGAGGTTCAACTTTGAGTCTTTTGAAAACATAAATTCATTTAGTACTTGTTAATTATGGAGCAATTAAAAAAACCCGATGGTGCGGGGCGCCTGGGTGGCGCAGTCGGTTGAGCGTCCGACTTCAGCCAGGTCACGATCTCGCGGTCCGTGAGTTCGAGCCCCGTGTCAGGCTCCGGGCTGATGGCTCAGAGCCTGGAGCCTGTTTCCGATTCTGTGTCTCCCTCTCTCTCTGCCCTTCCCCCGTTCATGCTCTGTCTCTCTCTGTCCCAAAAATAAATAAAAAACGTTGAAAAAAAAATTAAAAAAAAAAACAAACCCGATGGTGCTTTAAGCTCCATCTTATGAGATGCAGGTTTACTTGATTTGAGAAAGTAAACATCGAGGGGAGGACCATTAGTGAAACATATTGGAGTATTCCTCAGCTTCAATGACAGCAGTGACTACTCCATCTAGGACTGAAAATAAGTTCACCGTGTCTCCAGGTCCAGGCAGAGGGGCTGGCAGAAATGACCACAGCCCCAGGCTGTGCTGGGACAGCCTGCCTCTTGTGATCTTCACACTTGTTTCCGATTTTGTGCAGGAAGGAGCCCTGTCAAGCCCCACTTCGGATCCAACCCCATCAGCAGCCCCACGGGCCCCACCAAGGGCAGCTACAGCAGTTATCAGGAGATCATCGCCACTTCTCTCCTAAATTTGGGCCAGATTGCTGTAGAGACGCTAGTTGGGGAGGATTTGGGTCAGGTGGCCAAGCCGGGCCCCGGTGTTGTGCACCTGGTGCAGGAGGAGGCCGAAGAAGGGGCCACCAGTGATGAGGGGGAGAAGGACGTGTTCATCCGGCCAGAGGATACAGAGGAAGTCATGGAAGTCACCAGGGAACGCTCCCAGGAGCTGGGTCCCCAGTCTGGGGAGGGCATGGTCAGCGAGGAGTCAAGCAAGATGAAAGTCAACCTGGGTAATGAGGAGGAGGAGGAGGAGGAAGAGGAGGAGGAGGAAGAGGAGGAGGAAGAAGAGGAGGAGGAGGAAGAGGAGGAGGAGGAAGAGGAGGAAGAAGAAGAGGAGGAGGAGGAAGAGGAGGAGGAGGAGGAAGAGGAGGAGGAGGAAGAGGAGGAGGAGGAAGAGGAGGAAGAAGTAGCCGCTCCCGATGTGATCTGTCAGGAGGATGCCCCCCATGCCCCCACCCAGAAGGCCCCGGAACCCCGGCACCCAGCATCTCCCAGCCCCAAGCCTGAGTACTCTGTCATCGTGGAGGTGCGCTCTGATGATGGCAAGGACGAAGACTCGCGCTCCCAGAAGTCTGCAGTCACTGATGAGTCAGAGATGTATGACATGATGACACGTGGGAACCTGGGCCTCCTGGAGCAGGCCATTGCCCTGAAGGCTGAGCAGGTGCAAGCCGTCTGCGAGCCAGGCTGCCCACCCACCGAGCAGGGCCAGCCGGGCCCTGGTGAACCGGGCAAGGTGGTGAGGCCTCTGGATGCCGCACGGAAGAACTACTGCAGCAAAGGTAGGGCTGGAGGCCCGGGCCTGCACACCCACCCTTAATGCCTCCGTCCAGGGTTGTCCCCAGCAGGCATGGATGCGGGCTGAGTGAGAGGCATGCTCACACTTCTCACAGAGGGCGATCCAGAGACAGACACAGGGCTCCAGGTGGGAGGAGGAGCGTGGGAGGGACAGTGAGCTGGCCCCAGCACCTCAGGCACAGCCCGGGGGGCCTAGCTGGGTCATGGAGAGACACAGGCAGACCCTGGGGGGGACACACCTGGGTCATGAAGAGACTCAAGTGAGCCCTGGGGAGCCCCAGCTGGAAGACAGGTGGGGACACAGGGCCCAGATTTTCTGGGAATCCTCACGTGAGACAGGCCTGGGGCAGATACTGAGGGACACAGCTCTCAAGGGGACACCCTTCAGAGTGGCACAGGTGTGGGGGACAGCTGCTTGGGAGCCCAGATTCAGGCCAGCACAAGTCTTGAGGGAACACAGACACAAGGAGACCTAGGTAAATGTGATACACATTTAGGGACAGGGTGTTGAGGCCTGTGTAGGGTATCAGCCTGAGGGTGGTGGGCTTGGGGACCACAGATCAGGGCGGATATTGGTGGGACACTATTGGGGAGTGGCATGGCTGGGGGACACAGGCAGAGTGACAGCCCGGGTGCAGGTGTTTGGGTGACGCAGGCCTGTGGGACACTGGGGGGACCCAGACGCAGGGTGCCTTGCCTTCAGGGGTAGAGTTGAGGGCGCGGGCCCAGGGGACAGAGCCTCAGGGTGAGGCAAACAGCGGCACTGGAAGCACCTGGCAGTGGGCGAGATGCGACTGATGTCGAGGCACCGCCACAGCGCGAGCCCGGCTAGAGCCCGTGTGGCAGCGGTAGCAGCTCAGGAGGCAGGCTCCGGGGATCATTTGTGATGACCCTGCCTGCTAGGTTGGTGAAGGTCCAGCTTCCTGCCTGTTTGAATGTGAAGAGGAAGAGCCAGGGGTCCTGCACTTTCGAACCCGCTCGGGTTTCTGCCTCAGCCGGGGTGGGCATTCTGAGTGTAGTTGTGTGAGTTCTGTGTTCTCCCCAGGGGAACCGCTCCACCTAGGAACTTCTCTGGGACACTGGCTGTGCTCTGGGGATCATCTGTGTCCTGGCAGGTGTTCCCTTCTGGCCCCCACACTCAACAGTGACCTCTCTGAGCTTGCAGAGCCTAGGTGAGGTCAACAACTGAGCTTTGAGTTTAAGTTTCTGCCCAGGCATTTATATTAGTCCTGTGGCTTTGGGCAAGTTAACTTCTTTGTCCTCGTCACTTTGTCAAATCCAAAGGACATATCCTGGCAGGGACCTCGTCACATCTTTCACCTCTCTGTGCAGAGGCTGGACCTCAAGGCATGGGGGCTCTTGGAGGCATGGCCCCACCCTGAGTCAGTAGGAGCAGGGAAAGAGGGCACCAGCTGCTACCTGGGTTGTCCTCTTTAAAATACTGCACAACTTACTACATGTTTGGGCAGTTTACAAACTTACAGTTTGGGCAGCGTCTGGGCTTTTCCATGAGGACAGTTGATGTGGACCAGTTTCTTCAGAACTAGCTAGCCATCCCCTGGTCCCTCTCAGGCTCTCGGGCAGTCTGGCCACTCTCCTCTCTGGACAGCCAGAATGAAGAGTCATGGCTGTTCTGTCCTCCTCCCCACTTGGCTTTCTGGCTACCCTCTAACCGATGCCTCTTGTGTGTTTAGATCCCTCCAGAGCTGAGAAGCGCGAGATCAAGTGTCCAACACCAGGCTGTGATGGCACTGGCCATGTGACAGGGTTGTACCCTCACCACCGCAGCCTATCTGGTTGCCCCCACAAGGACAGGATTCCCCCGGAGAGTGAGTAGCTATGCACAGCTCAAGCCATCTCTGGTGTTTGGATGATGTAGCCCCCAACCCCCACCCCCATCCCAGGGCCCTGTCCCTTTGGATTGGCACTGTCCAGGTGCCCAAACTTGAGTCCTACATGGCCGGGGATATGGAGTGTGCCCATTTACCTACCTTGAGACGGCAGCCAGGGTCAGGCCCCCCCAGGAGGGCCTGCCACAAACACAGGTACTCGGGAGGGAGGAGGAGCCAGCAAGCCAGGGAAGAGCCAGCCATCTGTGCTCTGAGGGCCACGAGGAGAAAGCCTAAGCTTTTTCACTCCTAAGCTAGAGGCAGTAATCGTGAGCATTCATTTCAAAGGGTGACTCACAGAACAACCAGGGGGTTTGAAGGCGAGGGAAGCAGGGGCCACAGCGGGAGGGAGTGTGCCTCGACTGGGCTGAGGCTTGGGAGCCGCTCTGGGTTGCTGCTCTAAGCTGCCGCCCTGCAGAGTTGGAGACTTCAGATGGGGCTCCTCCATGTTCCTTGGTGGGGCTCACCATCTCCCTCTCCCTGGTTCTCTTCCAGTCTTGGCTATGCACGAGAATGTGCTCAAGTGCCCCACTCCTGGTTGTACAGGTCAAGGCCACGTGAACAGTAACCGCAACACGCACAGGAGGTACTGGGGCTGCGCTGGGAGTGGCGAGGGCTGTGCGGTGGGGTGGGCGGGGCCGTGGGCTGAGCCCTGGCCTGGGACGGGTGCAAGGTTGGAGCAGGCCCCTTGGTGGGGAGTCAGCGTGGCACCAGAGGCATGGTCGCTGTGGTGGGGTCCTGAGAGACCAGAGGGCGGCTGCAGGGATGGGTATGTGCTCTTCAGAGAGGCCTGCTGCCTGTCGGGAAAGCCAGGTGGAGGCTGTGAGACGTTTGGGAAGCTTCTGCGCTCTAGCTTTTGCTCGTGGTGGGCCTTGGCTGGCCAGGACCGAGCTCTGGGCTACACTGTGGCTTCTGAGACCCAGGTAGAAGCGAGACTCCCATGATGCACTCAGGGTTTAGCCATCTGCTGTTTTCCACAGTGAGAGGTGACCACACCCCCGACCCTTGCCTGGAGCGCCTTGGGCAGCAGGGCTGTGATGGGATGTGCTCTCACAAAGGAGGCCAGAGCTTTTGAGGTCACTTCATTGAGAAGAGGCTAAATTCCTGAGCCCTTTTGTGACTAGTCACCTCTCCAGCAGCCATGGTCAGCTCTGTCCTGACAGATGAAGTTGCTTCCCTGATGTCCCAGGTTGGGTGCTTCCCTAGGAAGGGCTGGGGCCTCTTGCTGTGGCCCTGGTACAGTCTGTAACCTCTAGGGTTAGCACCCAGGTTGTGTGGCCCATGGGGCCCTGGGCTTCCCTGAGTTGAGCCAGAGACGTGTTGGCATATCGGGGGAGAGCAGGGAGGTGAGAGGCAGACCCATTGCCCAGACCTGCCTAGAGGAGGTGCCTTTGCCCAGAGCCCTGAAGGCTTTTAGGATGTACTTTGTTTGTGTGCATCATTGCTTAGAATTTCCCAAAGCAGAAAGTGACTGTGCAGCTGCTACCTTGAGGGCTTGAGGACAGGCCTGGAGAGACAGGAGCCTTCTCTGGGCTCCTGCTGGTGTCTGTGGGCTTCTGGGCTTGGACAGGCAGGATCTGAAGGAGAATGCTCAGCTGCCCTCCTTGCCTTTTCTCTAGTTTGTCCGGATGCCCCATTGCTGCTGCTGAAAAATTAGCCAAATCTCATGAGAAGCAACAGCCGCAAGGGGGAGATCCTTCCAAGAATAGCTCCAATTCAGATCGGATCCTCAGGTGAGTGAATTGAGCCACACAACTGAAGGGGCTGCCTCCCAAAATGGTTAGAGGGGGCTTCCCACATGTGCATGTGTGTGTATGTGTGCGTGTGTGAGTGTTTATGCTTGCATGTGTGTGCATGTGCATGTGCATGTGTGTGCTGATGCCCTCAGCTGCCCTCGGGGCCTCCCAGAGGACAGTTCCTGGGCACACACAGGACAGCGTCTGACATCTGCCCCCCTCACCGGTGCTTCGGCTGTGGCACAAACACCCACGAGGCTGCCCCTGCCTTGCTCTCCCCAAAGGTGTCTGATCTCACCGCTTGAGATTACTCAGGGATTTGTTTGTGGAGACGCTGGTCCTGTCTCCAGAGGGCAGACCACACCAGCCGAGGGTCACTGCTGTCCAGAAGCACCGGAACTGCTCCTTCTGGCTGTCTCACTCCAAGGAAGGACCATAAGCCAAGGGAGAGAAGTGGGTGCATGTGGTACCCTTCAGAGCATTGGCCCCAGAGGTTCTGAGGCAGCAGTGGGCCTGTGTGTGTGTGCGTATGCATGTGTTCACGTGTGCACACGTGTGTGCGTGCATGTAGACATGTGTCAGCAATAAGGGGGCTCCTGAAAGAGCACTCAGAATGCATTTGCTTAGCATTCCTGCCATCCATGTGACCCTGTGAAGCGGGTACCACAAGTAAGGCCAGAGTCTCGGGAACCTGCCCAAGGTAACACTTACTGGCTGGGGGAGTTGGCACTGGCCCCCGGCCAGCTTGGCTTCAGGGTCTTGTTCTTCAACATAGTTCTCTACCCGTTGGGTGATTCCCTTACCCCACCCCTCACTGTCCTCCCTCAGCGGACACGCTGCTTCCTGTTTCTCTGAGGGACTAGGATTCATACATTCTTCCCCTTCCTCAGTTTTCCAGACCACAGTTCCATGTCTGCCTCCCAAAGGAGAATGTGGGAGATGAGGGCCACTGTACCCTGAAAAGGCCTAACACCTGGAAGTCACAGACGTGGGCAATAGCATGAACCCTGGTCTGGAGAGGGGCCCGCCTCCTTTCAGGGCCCGTCCAACCCTGGTGTGTGCCTGGCAAATTCTCAACCAGAGGAACTTGGCTGCCCGCCTTGACCTGCTCTGTGGGTCCCATGTGTGGAGTCTCTGGGCGGGGCCAGGGCCGGGCGGGCCTCACCTTCCTGTGCTTCCGTCTATGCGTGTCTTTGGCCCTGCACATCCAGTTGGCTTCCGTCCACCTGTTGGCTCTTAGGATGGTTGGAAGCGGCTTCTTACCTTCATCCTGTAACTGCTCTTTCCAGCTTCCTGCCATTTACTATCTCGATTCTTTTCCTGCCTCAATCTAAGTCACTGGTAACATGCCAAACCAGCAGGCAGGTGAGGCCCAGTGAGCCCAGGGTGGGGGGCAAGGAGGCTCCAGACATGGTGGCTGTGCCCCCAGGAAGTCTGACCTCCATTTGTTTGCCTGTAAAAGTGGGCAACAATGTTTTCTTGTGGGCTTCGAAAGTATTTCATGAGGCTTGAACAAGATAGTGATGTTTTGCCTCCCCGGGCCGTGGTGAGGACCCTCTCCAATGGTGGTGATGGTGACCAGGATGCAGAAGCGTTCTGTTCAGGTTCTGTTCATTCTGCGTGGCCATGTTTCTGGGTGTCACGCCCTGGGGTGTGGGGAGAGCCTTTGCAAATCTCTGCTAGTGTCACAGACACTGAGTCTTTGCTGAGGGATGGAGCCCTGGCCCAGGAAGCCATGGTACCAATGTTAAATTTAGGATTCTCTTTTCTCCTGGGAGGTGCCTGAGCACAGTCCAGTAACTTCTTCAGATGCTACCAGGCCCTTCCACCCTCCTTGGGGAAGGAGAACGTGCCCATGCTTGGGGGTATCTGCTTTTCCGAGGTCCAGACTCAGAGCTGGTCTCTTCATGGTTGCAGGTCTTTCTGTCCCCAGGCTCCTGTTTTGGGGCCACATGCCAGTTCTTGTAGTACTCAGCCCCTTGAAGACCTCACCATTGACCCCTTCTTAATTCCTGTGATCCACTCTTTTCAGACTGGAGTCATTTCTTGGTTCAGACTCAGGAGCAAAGAGAGAGTGGGTGTGCAGACGGGTCTCCCGGCCTCCCTTCCTCCTTCCTTCTCTCTGAGCTGGTAGTGCAGAAGCCTGTCCACACCCTGTGCGGTTGCCATCCTCCACCCGGCTGCTCTTCCTGCCCTGGGTCCTGTGCTGTCTGGGCTGGCGTCTTCATGCTAGCTCTTGTGCATTCAAAACTCTGAGCTCTCCCGAGGGCTTCAGAGATGAGGAACTGAATGCCTGTGGTGGCCTTTTCGTTCCTGTCCTTAACTCTTTCAGCCGCACCAGGGCTCTTCTCAACTGCCTTCGAGCAAAGGGTAGTGAGGGCTAAAGCTGAGTTGGGCCCTCCCTGAGCCTGATTCTCAGAAACACACCCCGTCCCCTCTAGGTGCCCTGACTCCCTCCTCACTGGGGAGCTCTGTTATTCCACCAGGAGAATTCTGTCTAGGTGTGGCTAGCCACCATCCTAGGGATGCCCCTGTAGGGTTGCCTGCCAAGGACTCATACCTCTTGTAGCAGAGCAGTTTGAAACCTGTTCTCCTAAGTTCTGGGGCAAAGTCTAGGGCCCTCCCTCTCTGGCTAATGCCGTCTGCAAGGGCACATGGCATTGTTTCTCCAAGGTTCCAGTTCTTCATATAGATCAGGTCCCAGGCACCGTTTAGTAGAGGGACATGGCGGAGGGTCTCTGTGCACAAAGGGTTCTGAAGGGTTCCTGCCCAGGCTGTGGGATGGGGCATGGGGTCCCTGAGCCCTGTCCTCATGGTTCTGCACCTCTATCCGCACCTCAGGCCCATGTGCTTCGTGAAGCAGCTTGAAGTCCCTCCGTATGGAAGCTACCGGCCCAGTGTGGCCCCTGCTACACCCAGGGCCAACCTGGCCAAGGAGCTGGAGAAGTTCTCCAAGGTCACCTTTGACTACGCAAGTTTTGACGCTCAGGTTTTTGGCAAACGCATGCTTGCCCCAAAGATTCAGACCAGCGAAACCTCACCTAAAGCCTTTAAATGTAAGTAGGGGAGATCTGCTCCTGGGAGACGCAGGGTTTGAGAGATGGGGGAGGAGGGACCCCCTTCGCCGGGAGCATGTAGGGAATCTCTCCCCTAGGGGACCCTAGCTGTCCCAGTGTCCACTGAGGTGGCTTTCCCAGGGTCTATATTTCCCCCATGTTTCTGCCACCATGTTCCCCATCAAGCTTGATGTATCTCTTCACTATTTGTGAAAAAAACAAACAACTCCCCCCCCCCCAATAAAAAACAAAAAACAAAAAACAAAACAACCCAAGTCCTTTATGGTGTGCATGTCCAAAGGCTTGAGAATAACTTCCTTGATACGGTCCACTCTGCAGGGGCTCAGACAACTCAGCCAGCCTGTGCTGAGCCTGGGTGCCTGACAGGAGCTATTCGCTTTCCTGCATGTGGACCATCTTGCTGGATACAGTGTGTTGTGTTAGCCACAAGTGTTCTGGATACTTGTAACTAACAAAATGCATTCCTACAAACTTTTGAGAAAAATCCTGCCTTACTGTTTTGGTTACTCAGTGTACTCATCTGTGGGTTGCAAGCCCCTTAGCCCTGGAAACACATATGAAATGGAAGTGTGCCCATGAGATTGGAACTGGCATCTCGGAGTGGGTATTTGGCCCTGAAATGCAGCAGTGAGGAGTTTCTGTCATGTTAATAATGAAAATCCTAACTGATGCAGCTGCCAGCTACAGTGTGGACACCTCTTCCCCTTGTTAGGGCCAGGGGTTTCCTGCCACCATGTACAGGCACCAACAAACACTCACAAGGAGCTTTTCGTATATCTGGAAACTGACTGGTGATATTGTGAATTCAGAAATGTCATGCTTGAGAGTCACTTTATGACTACCGTACAATTTCTGGAAGAGATAACATTTTATGTCCTCATTTGTCACGTTTATTTGAACAGTAATGTTACTTTATTGAAGTGGTATTATGGGGACACCAAAATCAGCCTTTTGAGATGTTGTGACAAAATTTTTTCTACTTGAGCGATAGTCCCATACACTCCTCCTCTTATAGAATTCTTTCCTGTCTCAGGAAGCATTCACCAATAGACGACTTGTATTTGTTTGAAATAAGAGGGATGCTGGAATGTCTTTGGCAGGTTTTGTTCTTTCTGCCCAAATTTTAGATGAGCCAGAAATAGCGTCCTCAGTACCCTATGGGAGGACAAGTAGGAGTGTGTTGTGGGCGCATGTGACTGGGACAAAGACCCTGCCCCAAGCCCCTCCACGTAGCTGTACCCTGTGCTCCCCCAGCCATCCCGAAGACGCCCTCCCCCCAACCCTCCCGCCCCACCCGTGTCTATGTGGCCACCATGCATTCAAGTTCTATATCAGCCTGGTGTTGTTCCCTTTTTGCAGCCAGACCTTTCCCAAAGGCCTCCTCCCCCAGGCACAGCCCCAGCACTTCATCCTCTTCTGCAGGCTTCGACTACACGCATGATGCTGAGGCTGCACACATGGCCGCCACAGCCATCCTGAACCTCTCCACGCGCTGCTGGGAAATGCCTGAGAATCTCAGCACGAAGCCACAGGACTTGCCCGGCAAGGTTGGTGTGTCCCCTACAAGGAGCTCTGTCTGAGACAGCGGTGGGCCGGTGGGATTCACAGTCAGGACCATGAGCCTACACACAAAAGGTGCTCAGGGACACCCGGTGTCCACCTGAGAAACTTGTCTTCCTCCCGGTCGTGGCTCCTGATGACCAGAGGGGGTTAGATGGGTTCCCTCTGGGAGCTCTGGGTGCCGTGCCTGAGGAGGACCAAAGGGCTCTGCACACGCACGTTTCCTCGCGTTGCCCCCGCGCCTGGATGTCGAGCGCCTGCCCGTGTGTGATCATGCTCACCGTGTCTCAGGCGTCTGGGTTTGTGGTGTTAGCGAGACCTGAGAGGCAGTGGAGGCTCCTCCGTGTGAGGTGCAGGGAGGGGCAAGTCAAGATTCTTGCTTCCCAGAGGTTCTTCTGTTCTTGCGTGGCTCTGTTTCCTTCCAAGGGAAACCCTGTGCCGGGCATTCTGTAACGCTGACTTAAAGTGCCAGAAGGCACACGTGGGAAGCACAGACCCACCTTCACAATTGCAGGCTGCGGACATCGAGGTGGATGAAAACGGAACCCTGGACCTGAGCATGCGCAAACACCGCAAGCGGGACAGCGCCTTCCCCAGCAGCGGCAGCAGCGGCAGCAGCCCTGGCGTGAAGTCCCCTGATGCTTCCCAGCGCCACAGCAGCACCAGTGCCCCAAGCGGCTCCATGACCTCGCCCCCGTCCAGCCAGGCTTCCCGCCAGGACGAGTGGGATCGACCTCTGGACTATACCAAGCCCAGCCGCCAGCGAGAGGAGGAGCCTGAGGAGGTGGGTGTGGGACCCGAGGGCTGATGTAAAGCAGTGCCTGCTTCTCCAGGAGGAGCTTCCGAGCCCTGTCCACACCGAGCCCTGTCCACACCGCGCCTCGCCGCCTCTAGGAAGCTAGGACTCGGCCCGCCCTTCTGGGGAATTTTTCACCCTTGGGCTGTGGTGTATCTTGTCCCATCCAAGAGAGAAGTGGTCTTCTCACTTCCGTGGACACGGTGATCAGCACCGTTGTGGGCTCGGGGGAAGCATGGGGAGGAGAAGGGCCTGTTTCATATCTCATCGGAGACATTTGGGAGTGGCCCCAAATTCCTTGGTTCTGTGGCCTCCCCCCAACCTGCTGTCCCGATAGGGACACCCTGAATTCCGGCAGCAGTCCTTCCTCACCATCCACAGGACACTCTGGCCACCTGGCTCCTTGGACAGAGGCAGGAGAAAGCTCCTGGCCCTGGGAGCCCCTGTGGTGGTCAGTGGCCCGAGTCCCAAGACCAGCACCACCTGGTAAAGAGCAAGAAGCCAGGCGTCTGTGTTGGAGCTGCAGTCTGGGGACAGTGAAACATCCTTTTCCAATCATTCTACCCTCCGAGAGTGGGGCCATTTGAAGGCTCTTCCTCAAAGAGGTGTGCATCCTGAGTAGCAAAGCCCAGCCGTGAGGATGGTGCAGACTTCAGGCAGCCTCTGCACGGTATGGGCAGGCCTGCAGGTCCCCTCCGTTCTCCACCCCATCTCTGCCAGCTCCCCACCAACGCTAGAAGGGCAGGGGGCAGGTCCCTGCGGAGGAGGAGGTGGGGTGAGTAGGATTCCTCTCCGGGAACCCACCACCCTTGCAGTTCAGTCTCCCCAGTGAGCCAGGCTCCCTCTACACACTTCACACGTACCCCTACTTTGCAGAGTAGACTGGGCCCCAGGCTGAGGTCACTTGGCTCAGTCATGTGGCTACAACTTGGTGTCAGGCCGCAGAAGAGGGGTACCTCTCAGACTGAGCCCTGAGTGGAGGGGGCTGAACTGTGTGGGTGGTCTTCTCTGTGGCGGTTGGGAGCCCAGTATGAGGCCAGATGGGGCCCTCCTATTCAGAGACCACCAGGAGAGCCTGCTCTTATCTTGTTCCAGTCTTGCCCCCAGGTCTAAGCTGCTCCCTGCCCTTCCTGGTGACTACAGTCCCTCCCTTGACCCCTCCCTGCACCTGTCCGTGATCCCCAGCTCAGGCTGCATCCTTGGCTGCCTTGCCCCTCCCCTCCTCCCTTCACACACCCTCTGAGCATCCCAGAGGATTCATGTCATCAGTCTCAGGGGTCCTGAGGTCCCCGCCCAGTCAAGTCGGTCCCCACACTCCACCCCACAGTCACTCTCTGTCCTAGAGCCTCGGCTCACTCCCAGGCCCTTCCTCTCCTCCTGGGCACAGGAGGATCATCCCCAGAAAGGCCTTCTGTATCAGGCCTTCCTAGTCCCTTTGTCATGGCCCTGGGCTCCCGACTCAGACTCTCCTTCCAGCTCTGCCCAAGGTTCCTTGATCTGTCCTATGTGAGGCTGCATCTCTACTCTCAGTCTCACTTCCCACTCCAGGTGGAGGTGACCCACACTCCTGAAGCCATGGGAAGGAGCCCACTGCACTGGGCAGCAGCCAGGACAGTATCCACGGGCCTCTGGGATGCTCTCCCTGCTCTGGGACAACCTCCTCCCTGGGGCTTCCGGGAAGTTGCCATTTTTTCCGAAGACCCACCTTAAGTCGAACTTGCTCAAGGGAATGAGCCACTTGGTCTGCACCTTGTCCAATAATAGTATTTGTGGCAGTAATAGCAACACCCGCCACATTGACAAGATTCCCTGTCGGTGACTCAGAGCCTTCGCTACGTTGGGCTCCACTCCCCAGAAATCCCGTGAGGGGCTGCTGTTCTCTCAAGTTTAAAAGTGTAGCCTCTAGGAGCGCCTGGGTGGCTCGGTGGGTTGGGCAACTGACTCTTGGTCTTGGCTCAGGTCGTGGCCTCGCGTTTTATGGCTTTGAGCCCCGTGTCGGGCTCTGTGCCGATGCCTGCTTGGGGTTCTGTCTCTCCTCTGTGCCCCTCACCTGCTTGTACTTTCTCTCTCTCTCTCTCTTTTTCTCTAAAAATAAATACGTAAACTTAAAAAAAAAAAAAAATTAAAGTGTAGCATCTGGGCCCCAAGAGGTTGAACAACTTGCCTGGGACACACAAGTGCCAGCACTGGGATGTGGACCACGAACTCTCACACTGGTTAACTGCCTCTGATGTAGACCCACTTGCCGGGCGTTGAGCTTTCCCACTCTTGTGGACAGGGACTGTCCTTGTCCACCCCTGTGTCCGTAGTACCCTGCCCTCTGGTGGTTGCTGAACAACTGCAGACATAGAACTCGAGCTTATGAACTGCCTGTTGTGGTCAGGGTGTCGTGCTGGGTGGGGAGGCACAGGGCCATGGGGTCACAAGGTCACTGAGTATTTTTATCACATTTTTATGTTCCTGTTCTCCTTGTGCCATCTCATCATTACAGCATTTCAACAAGCACTTGTTGAGTGCCTACTGTCTACTGAGCACTGAAAGAGCTGCACTTTGCATAAGTTCTTGTGTCTAGAAGGTGACCCAGTGGCAGTTAGGTGGAGGTGACCCACAGGCCTGAGGCCACGGGAAGGTGTCAGAGCCCACCGCTCTGGGCAGTAGGCAGGGCTCCTCGTTCCTGGGGCGGCTCAGGAGCTCTTGCTGGGGGGGACACTCTAGCCCCTCAGGGGTGCTGTCTCCTGTGTTCTTGGGGGCAAGTCTTCCTCCCCCATCCAGAAGGCAGGAGAAACCGGAAAATGTCTCTGTGAACACTGTTCTGAAGGCCCCTCTCCCTCAGCCCCCGGCTCGGGCACCCGGCCCCCCGCCAGCCGGTTAAAACGTCTCCCTGCTGGTTTTTTGCAGTCAGAGCCAGCAGCCCATTCTTTTGCTTCTTCTGAAGCAGATGACCAGGAAGTGTCGGAAGAGAGTTTTGAGGAGCGCAAGTACCCTGGGGAAGTCACCCTGGCCAACTTTAAGATGAAGTTTCTCTCCAAGGACATAAAGAAGGAGCTGCTCACGTAAGTCCCCACCTGGGCCAAGAGGGCTCCTTGAGGACCTGCCTGGTCCGGAAAAAAGCATGTCTTAGTCTGAGCCCTGAATGACCAGGTCTGCTCAGTCCTGGACCTGTCCCTGCCCTGGCCTAGCTCTGACCGCCCTCCTGGCCGGACCATCTTGCTGGGCAGAGGTTGGGTGTCCTGCACTGCAACGCTCTCGAGCCAGGCAATGGGTGACAGCTTTCCTGTCATCTCGGCACCGCGCTGGAATCTCACACAGCCCTCTGAAGTGATTCAGAGCAAGGAAGGGCCTCTGTTCTGGCCCACAGAGCGGGAGGGCTGAGGGAAGCCAACCCTCTCCCGAGCCCCAGCTCTCTGCCTTGGCTTACGGAGCCCAGGCCTGACTTGTACTCTGCTCTGAGGCAAGGTGCCCTCGGCTCTGGCAGCCCAGCCAGCGGCCCCTTTGAGTTTGTCCCCGCAGGGTTCAAGCAGACATTATTACAGAATGGGGCCGCTGCTGGTAGATATGAGTCATCCCCTGGTCAGATGCCACCCCACAGCCTTCCGGTCACCCCCACTGAGAACTGCTTCTCCTTAGAGGACTGTGGGGGGTGGGACCTGGCACCTGCACCACAGGTGGAACCTCACCCGTGCTCAGTTTGTTTCTGGGGTTCCTGTTCTCCTTGCGAGGAACCCAACCAGCTTCCTCCTTCCCTGCTGCTGGCTCTCCCCAGGCTCTGCTCTCTGGCCTTGTCCTCAGGGAAGGAACTCCCTGCCTACGCGTTCACGGGTGCACACGTGTGCACGTGCAGAGCGCATGTGCTCCAGGGACGCCCTAGCTTCAAGCTGAGCTTTCATTTGGTTCCTTTTTCCTCCTCGAGTTAAGTTGTGTGGGAGAAAGTTGCAGTCTGAGCGGTGAGGGCTGTGCTCTGAGGACTGAGGGGGTGAGTGGAGAGCAAGTGTTAGCTGCTCTGCTGAGTAGGCTCCGCCCGGGGGGCTGGCCTGGCAGGTGTGCCTTGCTCTCTGTTCTGACGCTCTGTTTCCTTTGTTCAGCTGCCCCACCCCTGGCTGTGACGGCAGCGGCCACATCACCGGGAACTATGCCTCTCACCGCAGGTTTGTCCCTGCTCGGGTCCAGCCTGGCCTGGGTGCTGCGTGGTGGGTCTTCCCCTCTCCTCCTCTGCTCCCCCTCTGGCTCACCCCGATGTCCCATCTCTTCTCTTTCAGCCTCTCTGGTTGCCCTCTTGCTGACAAGAGCCTCAGAAACCTCATGGCTGCCCATTCTGCTGACCTCAAGTATGTCTGCCCTCCTGGCCACCCGTCTCTTGGGCGGCTCCCTCGCTCTGCTCTCTCCTTCCGCGAGACTCCAGCCAAAGTCGGCCTTCTCCAGGGCTCCAGCCCCAGGGGAGCCCCTCCCGGCGGGATGGGGCAGAGAGAGAGGCCATGGAGGGGCCGACTTGCTTGCCTGGGGCTCCTGCTGCTGCTGCTGCCGCTGCTGCCTGTGTCTCTTCGCTCTGAGCGCTGCTATCCGCCTGTCCCTTGCCGCAGGCTCCTGTGCTGCCCTCGGGTCTGCTAGCTGCTCTGAGGACCGAGGGCTGGAGGGCCTTGAGGGGAGCAGGACCCGCCTCTGGCTGCTGGTGGCCCAGCCCGTCTCTCCCTCTCCCGAGGACCCTGTACGGGGTTGTCTGGGCCTGCTTTTCTCACCGCCCTTGAGATTTGGGAGAAGCCCAGAGCTGGCCTTGGCTTCTAAGTCTTGCTGTGGCTCAGCGGGCTTTAGGCTGTGCAGCTCTTACTGAAGGAACTGGGTGCTGATGATGAAAGAGAAGACTCTTTGCCCTTCCTTCTCCTACTGCCCCTGCGGCTGCTTCTGTCTTGGCCCCTGGTGATCCTCCCACGCTCATCCCTTCTTTTTGCTGAGCACCCCCCCTCTCTGCTTCTCCTCCCTGCCCCTAACACACGGGCACCATCTAGCCTGCCTGATAGCCCCGCTCAAATGCGATGCAAGCACCCAGAGGTTTCCCAGGTATCAGCGTCCTCTTGGGGCTGGAGTTGGGGACTGTCACCGCCTTTGATTTTTATGCATTTGGTTGAGCTGCGACATTGCAGCCGCTGTGACCCTGAGCCCTGCAGTGCTGACCCTCAGGGGCTCTCAGGCTGAGCAAAGGCTCAGGAAGGAGGCCCTACTCTCCTCCTCGAGGGTCACTCCCTCTTCCAGGGTGTTCATCCTCTCCATATGGAGGGGCCCTGAATCTAGGCTCATCCTGTTCTGGGACCAGACAGGAGCCAGGGCCCTGGAGACTGTAAGATGAGGAGCTGTTATTGCCAGAGGCGTCCAAGGGGCTTGAGCTGATTTAGAGACAGGGCAGAAAGCTGTAGATCTCTGGAAGGTCCCCATCCTGCCGGTCTCCTCTTTGTCACTCTGGGGGGGCCCGTCTGGTCCCGGCAGCCATGGCGTGTCATTGCTCACTGCTACCCATGGGGCTTTCTGCCCTGAGCAGGGTTCACCACCAGAACTGTCCTTCTAAGTGTTGATGGCTCTAATGTAAACATTTTCTGAGGCTCAGCTCGTCATGGCTGATTTGCATAGCTCCTCCTCCACTCACCAGGTCCAGCCCCAGAAGCCTATCAGTCCTGCAGGCTCAGGACCCTCTTCCCCCAGCTGCCCTCCTCCTTTCCTCCCTGTCTTCTCTTACCGTCTTTCCCACGTTCCCCTTTTCCTGTTTCCTTTTCCAATTCGACGTGCTTTTCAACGATGATTAGTTTTCGTGGTTTTCCACTCTGAGGGTCTGAATGATTTTAGAGCTCTAGGTGTGAACACATGTGTGCGCGGTGGACCTTTCTCCCTGCAGAGCAGGTGCTCGGGGCTGCTGGAAGGACAACGTGGGCCTGGTCTGGGCCCGGAAACGTGGCCGTCTGGGAGGGTTAGCACTCTTCTGAGACTAAGAGCCTGTGGGGAACTTTAACCTGAACTTGTTTAGAAATAGCAACAGGAAGTCTTCCCCATGTGAAAACAAGTCCTGCATCAGTCTCAGCAAGGGTCAGCAAGGTCTGGGAAGGCGGCCGAGGTACCCGACTCCTCCCAAGCTCTTCTCTGGCCCCAGAGGTCTCTGTGTGGGAGTCCGCTCTTTGCCCTCTCAGGCCACAGCGTGGGCTTTGGGTGGACGTGGCGGGGCTCCACTGTGTTCCCGGTGTGCCGGTGCTTCTGCTCCCTCCTCCCTTCTCTTGTCCCGTGGCTATCTCGGAGAGGCTGTTCCTGACCAGCCTTGTGGCAGTGGCGCGTGATGGTGACCTGACCCCAGAGGGGCACAGACGTCTACATCACTGCCTTGCAAGCAAGGCCTCCCTGTCAGTAACTGGGTGCAGCGACAGTCTCGGGTGATGTGTTTTCCGTGTTTTCATCCAGTCTCAGGGGCATTTACTCTTCTTTCTCATGTGCCCAGTGTGGTCGGGGGCGGGGCACACAGCTGCCCTGGGCCCCTCAGCCCACTCTGTGTGCGGGGGGTTGGGGTGCAGCCACATACCCTGTAAGGTGTGTGACCAGGTGGGGGACAGCCCCCCCCCCCGCCACCGTGGGTCAGGGAGGGGGCTCAGAGGCGAGACCTGGTGTGCGTCGCCAAGCTGTAGTGAGTCCCAGAGACGCAGGACTCTTCCTCTTACCCAGACGATGCACCCAGAAGCAAATGTTTGGGAGGGTTCCTGCCACTGACCCTGTGGGTCCTCAGGGGCGCAAGAGTGGCTGACACTGCCAGCGCCCAGCATGGGTATCTGCTTCTCCAGGCACACAAACCTCATCCTCTGCTGGATACAGCTGTGGGGAAAAGCCATTGAGTCAGGCCTCAGCGAGGAGAGCCGGTGCCCCACCTGTCTGCAGACAGCGTGCCTCAGTGGGACCCCCGGGGACGCCGGGCCCACGTGTGCTGGGGCCTGGCAGGGTCCACCCCCACGTGCATGCTCTCCCCTGCCAGCCTCACTCACAGGTGCCACTGGGGGTCGCACCACAGTATGGACCTGTACTTCTGGGCATCGAGGCCCCGGGCTGCTGCGGGGCCATGCTGCCCTGGCCACCACCCGTAGCACTGAGCCTGAGTTCTGCCACGTTTCCCTGAAGCCGAGAAGAAGCAGAGCCCAGGCAGCCACCTGAGCTGCTACAGACTCAGGAGAAGCACCACCCTCACTCTCTGCACTTGGCCTTCCAGAGGGCAGGAGAAGGGCTCTAGCTTCGGCAGGCCAGGAGAGTGCTCAGCAGGGCACTCTGAGCTGAGGAGGGGGTAGCAGGGCATCAACGGGGCCTCGGCCTCAGCAGAGAGTCATGTGAGGCATACCCTGACATGCCTGAAGGACTTGGTGCCCACAGCCGGGGGCCGACCCCGGCAGCTTGCACCCTGGGACCTCGGATGATGCAGAGACACAAAGCATCCCAGCAGGAGTGGTGTACCCGTTCGGGGGTTTGTTTGAGAGGATGAAGCCCACCTAGATGGAGGTGGTGTGTGATTTCTATGAAAATGCAAAAACCTCCTGGCCCTAGATGTGTGTGTGTTGGTATGTGACCACACATGCCTGGAGCAGGAGCCGTCATAACCTCAAGGGGTTTGAGTTACCCCTAAATCCGACAAAATGGTGATTTGACCGGTTGGCCTGCCAGCAGGCCAGGGAGGCATCTCGTGTGTGGCTCATAGGGCAGGGACGAGGAGGGTGCCTTGAGAAAGTCCAAGGGACTGGAGAAGGAGCAGTTCAGATTGGCATTGAACTCCTCCGTGTTGCCATGCCAGCTTTGAGCGTCCTCTGATGCGGAACAGGCAGTGTTGGCCTGCTGAGGTCTGGGAGGCAGCCCAAAGCTGTGGGGGAGTCCTTTGGCTGTGCTGGCTTCCTCTGTCTCACTCCAAATGTCAGATGCTGCATTTGCCAGTGGAAGAGGGTGCCGACAAAGCCTTGGGCACATCACAGGGGCCTGAGTGCCTCAGAGAACTCTGCTGATTGAGAGGCAGAGACCTATGTCCTGTTCCAGCTGATGCAAGTCTCCAGAACCCTTTTGGGGCCACTTGTATGTTGAGAAAGAGCCTCGGCACCCATGGTTTTTTCTGTGTGCGAGGCTGAAACCAGAAACGGTAGATAAGTATTCTGTGAATAACAGGCTTTCCAGGTGCAAGCCCTCAGATCCTGCCAAGTCCCACGGGGTCAGAGCTGCACCCTCACACGGACCCAGGTGCAGAGCGGAAGACCTGCTCCTGCTCCAGAGGGTTCTGGTGGACTCCCCTGCAGAGTCAGGCACGCCTCCCCACTCTGACATTCTGCCTCCACGGACATTCAGGGAAAAACAATTTGAGAAAACCCATACTTGTACATTAAAGTGGAATTTTTACTTTCTATGTGGTATGTTTGTCAAACATTTTGGATGCATACGGTTGGGCTTTTGTGTCTTGTGGCCCACCCCCCCCCCACCTCCTTACCCTTGGCCAGTGCCTGCCACCCCTGAAAAGCCTCTGGTTGTGCAAATTCTGCACTCACTGAGAATCACACCTCTAGGTGACCGGCGCTGTGGATGGTGGGTCATGGGTGCTCAGTAAATATCTATTCCTTTGCTCAGATGGTGATAATCCTCCCCGAGAACAACCCTTCTTCCTCCTAGCCACGTCAAGGAAGATGAACCCGTCTTAAGTGTTAGGTTTGCCTTCCTGAACACTGTTCAAAGGCCCATGTGTGTCCTGGAACCTTTTAGCCCAGCCTAGAACCCTGCAGAAAGCCGAAACGGGAGCCTATCATTCCTGCAGTGGAGATGTGCTCTCATCTTGGCCTTCCTGGAACCCTTGGGGAAATGGGGTGGCAAAGTTCTGCAGGCCGGACATCTCGGCAGCAGGCTAGCCAGGACACACACACTGTTTGTGAGACCAGTGCTAGGGAGGCGGGTGGGCCTGCATTGGGGCTGAGCACAGAGGGGGTCCTTTTGTGGCCAAGTGTCTTCACTGGCTCTGGTTCCAGCTCCGCTGTCCTCCACAGGTGCCCCACACCCGGCTGTGACGGCTCCGGCCACATAACGGGGAACTACGCATCACACCGGAGGTGAGGCTGCCGTGGCCTGGGGTGCCGGGCTGGATGGGGTGGGGTGGGTCTCCTCCTCAGATGCAGTTGCGGTGCCCCAGATAAGACATTAATGTTGCGGCAACCACAGCCTATTTCCTCGCTGTCATCTGAATTGCCGTGCCCAAAGCCTGATCGTGTTGCTATTAGCAGCCAGAACGAGAGGGCTCATGGTGCCACTTCCTGTCGTAGCCCTACTGTCCAGTAGAGTGCTCGATGACAGAAGTTGCCTTGGGATCCTCTGGGGCTGCTGATCACAGAGCTGGAGGGGTGGGGAGGGGCAGATGGGTGTGAGAAGCTGCTGTTCTGGAACGACCACGGCTTATGTTCCTCTTTCAAAACTAGCTTGTCAGGCTGCCCTCGTGCCAAGAAAAGCGGAGCCAGGGTGACGCCCACAAAGGATGACAAGGAAGATCCTGAGCTGATGAAGTAAGTTGGGATCTTGCTGATGCCCTTGGTTGCTTTGCAGAATTGGGATTTTCCTGTGTGTTATGATCCTGAAAAGCTGCTTCTAGACTCCTTTTTCAATTAATGCAGCTGGTCAATGACAATGCCCATTTTTACAGAAGTCCTCCTACTGTGCATGTGGACACCTACGAGGCTGTGAGCCACGTGTGTTGTATTGAGGGCACACACAGTGCTCTCCTGTGTGGGTTTCTCAGTTCTGGGGGTGTTTGATGGGGCCAGGAGAGGCAGAGGGCCCTGCTGCCCATGCACCGTGGTGGGGGGGGGCACCCGGGTGTAGGCTCAGGGCATGGGGCAGCCCCACAGGGCGCTCGTGGCTATTGCAACCTGCACAAATGTGGTCCAATGGGAAAGGTCAGGTGCAGGAGGAGGAGAGGAGGGTGAGGGTGATGACCAGTCTTCAAATCGTGTGTGTCTGCACACTCACATGCCTTTGCAGGGAGCTGGTGTGGAAAGAGGGAGCCCAGGAGGGTTGCCCCGAACTGGGACCTCGACACTGCTGTGGGGGAGGAAAGGGGACATCCCGGGCCTTACGTGACTCAAGTCCCTGAAACCCTCTCCAGACTGTCCCACTGGGGGTACCTAACGTGTCATCAGGGGGATTGTGTGTGAACTCTGAACCTGTGAGTGCCCCACTTGGTAGGGGCCTGTTTCGTTGCAAGCTTATCTTTCCAGAAAGAAACTTGCCCCCAAACCCCCCACTTGCAGGTATGGCTAACAGACTGACCCACCATTCGATTTGCCCAGGACTTTCAGAGCCGAAACTGGACGAAGCAGGCAGTGGGTCCCCTTGCCAGTTGAGGAGTAGAAGGGAATGGTCCTGGCTGTGTTGTGGCACAGTGCCTTGGAGCCGGCTTGGTCAGGGCATAGCCAGGCAGGTCCACAGAAAGCGGGTCTGTCCCGATTGCGTGTTACCTTTGGGCCAAGAACAACTGGATGCTCGCCCCTACAGAGGGAAGCAACCTGGACAGGTTGCTCCTCCTTGGAGCTTCAGCTCGTAGCTCACCCCAGCTGCGCCCAAACATCCGCTTGGCCACAGGAGGAGAGGTGTGATTGACCAGCGTCACATCCTTCAAAGGGGCCGGCTCCACCAGCTGTTCGGTGGTAAGAGGCTGTGGCTGGTTTATTTAATTTATTTTTTACAATGAAACTATAATGAATGCTAAATCAAAAACACAAAATTTGTGGATATTGGTGTCCTGAATGCAGCCTACTAAATGCCAGGCTGGATAAAGAGTATTTATCTTTCTGAGACGCCAGGAATTTGCCTGCGATCATATAAATGCAAGCTGCTATGGAATTAGCAAGGATCCTGCTGTAAGGGTATGAGAAGTGAATTGTGCTGCGTTTGCAAATGATTAAAATCAAGATCAGCATTTTTCAAATTAACTGGGAAAAATGGTTTTCCTCCTCCTAATGTGCTGTCAACTTTGCTTTTTAAAAAACAAGATTTTTTCAGCCAAGTGGAGAATATGACTTAGAAGCAGGTCAGCATTTACAGGGTGGCTGAAGTTCCTAATGGCTTCAGGGCAAGGCGGTGGGGGGGAGGGGCGCCTATTCAGCACCTCCATTTTATAGGGCCTCCTCCCCAGCCATAAACTTTAACTGTATTTATAATTGACTATCATCTTTAAACGAATGCAGACTGCAGCAGAAACTTTAACCGGGGCATCAGGTCCTGCTGCGTGACGGGATTTCGTGAGCGCGTGCTAGATGGGATTATGGAGGCTGCTGGAGGAAGAGTTCCCTTTATGACATCTTGTGTCTGCACCGTTTGAGATTAAGTCATGTCAGCACATTCTGCTAAATCCCTTTGCCAAAACTAAATAACTGGCCGTAAAAGTCTGTGGGTGTTCCAGTGTAGGGTTAGGAGCTCAACGCCTATCGCCTGTGGAGAGCCCTCCCCGCCCCTGCCGTGCCCCCTCCCCCACCCCACCCCCGCGCTATCCCCAGCCACACTGACATCTGACAAAAGAGATGTGCCTCTGACCCTGGGACCCTGGTGGCACAGAGCTCCTGTGCCCTACCACCAGCCTACCTGGCAAGTACAGAAGCTGCCTGACTTGGCACTCCACACACACCTTAATGTGAGGTCACCCGACAGCTCCGAAGATTTGGACACTGGTTGTGGAGGGACAGAGAAGTGGTGTTACCACCCACATGTCTGAAATACTCACTACGAATAAATTCCAGGGGGTTATTTGTGATGATGAGGGTTAGAGTTTTGCAAACAAAGTTGAAAAAAGGAATTTAGATTCAACTGTGTGTTGTAACTGTGAAGGGCTGCCTCTCATTTGGCCTTTGATCTTGTGATGGCAGGTGCTCACAGGCACTTTCAGAGCACCTGGCCCCGGTGTCCCTGGGACCCCACAGCAGAGAGGTGTCCAGGTGCGAGGGGCAGAGATAGAATGGAACGTCCCCGGGGTCCTTCCAAGGCCCTTGGCAGTGTCTCCACTCTGGACTGATGGCTGAGATGACCTTGGACCGGATCGGTGGCCATTCCACATGTCTGAGGCCCACGTGGCTGGGATGAGGAAGAGAGGGATGGGCACCAGGAGAGGAGACAAGTGGGGCTGGATCCAGGCAAAGGAGGCTGGGAAAATGTCTGCAGTGGCCACCTTGGAAGTGACGCCCGAGTATGGGGACAACTTCTGGGCAACGAGGCCCCGTCCCCTCACCTGCTGGAGCAGGAGCCCCGAAACGACCCTTGCCCTCCTGGAGGCTTTGTGCCTCTGACTTCCCCACCCCAAGGAACCCCACCTCTGTAAACTGGGGCCATGTGTCCCCTTTCAGGGCCCTGTGTGTTTGCCAGGTCTGTGGCTTATAAAAAGTGGGTAACAAATGGGAAATTACATGAGTCTCATTTGTTGCAGGGGAGAAAACAGAACTTACAGGTGGAGGATGTTGTCCCCAGTCAGTTGTTGGTTCCTAGGTGGTCCTGAGCTCAGATACCATGATTCTGAAATGTCGGTGCTCAGAAGGCATTGCAGGGAGCTCCTGGCCCAGGTCCCACCTGGATCCCATGAGAGTGGATGCCCAGAGCCCCCTGCTCCAGCCAGTTTTCTGTGGTGCACTCATTCCAATGGCAGCATGAGGGGGATTTGCTCTGAACCTTTTCTCAAGTTACTTCAACCATTCCTGGGGCATTTGCTATTTCCCAAGAGGATTCTCTCCCTGTTCTGCAACAGCTTGGCAGGAGTCATTATGGAATGTCTGAACTGAGTCTTTCTTGAATGAGCACTGTGGCCTGTGTTCTTCCTTCCAGAACACACATTTCGGATGTGGGGACATCCATGGACATCATGGCATGACAGTCTCATTCTGGGATGCTGTGGGGTGATGGAGCCCCTGCTGTCCCCGCGCTGCCTGGTTCAGGGCACTCTTGGGACTTCTGTGACCTCCCAGGCCCCCAGGCTCTGTGCTTGGTGCAATCTCCCAGGGAGTGGCCTCTGGATGGTTTCATCTGACACCTTCACTTCACTACACATGGCTGGGGTGATATAGAAGTGATGTGGCAGCAAGAGGTCTAGGTGTGGACCCAGAGGCCCCTGAGAGACATCCCAGGGCACAGGGGCATCATGGCTCCTTCCAGAGAAGGTAGCTGTTTCCAGAGAAGGTAGCTTCTCCTTCCAGAGAAGGTAGCTGCTGACTTTCCAACTATGCAGGAGGCGTGAGGGTGAGGCTGGAGAGGGAACGTGATCCCTGTTGCCTTCACATCTGGTTGGGAAGGCCCAGGTTCTGACTTGTGGCTTCAGGAATCACTCCAAACGTGGTAGTTCATCCAGGAGCCCCCAGCAGTCTCAGTGTCTGGCATGGGAGAGTCTCTGGGCTTCACCTCCCCCATCTAGTGCTCAGTGCTCACCTCTGACCTCTTTGTGCCAGGTGCCCTGTGCCAGGCTGTGTGGGGCTCGGTCACATCAGCGGCAAATATGCTTCACACAGAAGTGCATCTGGCTGCCCGCTGGCCGCTCGGAGGCAGAAAGAGGGTTCTCTTAATGGCTCACCGTTCTCCTGGAAGTCACTGAAGAACGAAGGGCCCACCTGCCCCACTCCAGGCTGTGATGGCTCCGGTCATGCCAACGGTAGCTTCCTCACCCACCGGAGGTAACTGCCCTGCACGGCTCGCATTTCATAGGGACACTGGCCTTGGGCATGTGGGCAAGGTTCTTCAGGAAGGACCAGACTCAGGAAGGGCTCAGTTGTGGCCTATAGTTTCTCCAGGGAAAAGCAAGTCCCGGATTGGTAGCCGACTGGAGGAAGCCATAGAAAATCTGTTAGTATCAGATCATGGTGTTTGTGACATGTGGCACCCCATGTGGCTGCTCCACGTGGAGCACGTGGAGTCCCTCCAGCAAGAGTGAGTGGAGCCCTGAGTCTCGTGTGTGCATTCTCGACACAGGCTGCCGGCTTCTCATGAAAAGCTGGCCCCTCCTGCTGGGGTCCCTTCTTTGAACTTTGGGCCCACGTCTGCCTGCTGTGGAAGGGACATGGCGACAAGACCCCTCCTTGCCTGGGCTCTCATTTGCCCCCAACACCTGTCCCAGGCCTGGGGACGGCTTGCCTCCCCCATTCTATTCCTCTGTGTGCCAGGCAGCTGAGGTATTGGCCAAGGTGCAGGGGTCACTACACTGTTCATCAGAAACCTTCTCTTTCTTTTGTTCCGTCCCTGTCTCTCCACCTAAAGATTAATGAACTCATTCGTTCCACAAGCTTTGACTTAGAGTCCACCAAATACCAGGCTCAGGAGAGCAGAGAACAAGAGTTGATTTGGGCCAAGTGAGGGACAGACTATAACCAAACAAATGAGTAAGATATTGCAGTGTGGCCAAGAGGATAGATGCTGTGGGGGAGGATAGTGGCAGGGAGGAGGGAGGGAGGCCTCTCTGAGAAGGGGGTGAGGAGCTTGGCCCAGGCAATCTGGGGATAAGCCTTTAGGGCCTAAGCTGGGAAAGGCCTGGGCTACTGAATAAGGGGTGTGGAAGCTTGGCGGCCGGAGCCGGGGAGCAGGTGGCAAGAGGAGACGAATGAGAAAGTTCCAACCAGGGTCCTACCAGGCTGCCAGCCAATGAGGACTTGGCTTTCATTGTGATGTGTCATCACAGACTGGCCCTTGGTATGTGACCTTGGACTGGTTTTTGGTGTGACCTTTGCTTCCAGCTTATCTGGCTGTCCCAGAGCAACCTTTGCTGGAAAGAAGGGAAAAGTCTCAGGGGATGAGGTTCTCAGCACGAAGTTCAAGACGAGTGATGGTAAGGTGTCCCTCCTGCAGTTCCTCCGAGCGATGTCTGTGACATGGGTGAGTGAGCAGGTACTGGCGGGAGGGGGTAGGGAGACAAGGCCCCTCCTAGAGTGAGTCATGGTGGAGACAGACTGCTTACTTGAGTTGACGGGTCTCCCAACCTAGCTCTGGACCCCTGGTCGCCTCAAGTCTGGGATCCTGGCCCTCAAGTGGCCATGCTTGCTCTAACCTGGGTATTGACAAGTGGTGGCATCAGAGAACCCTGATGGCGGCATCAGAAGCCACGCTCTCAGGGTTTGTGGATTCGTGAACTCAGTTAGTGTCAACGAAGAGGGAAGCTGAGGAAATTCAGCACCACCTGGAAAACTTCCGTCTTTATCTTGGCAATTAACACTTGCCAAAGATTTATACTCTCCTATCCGTGCCCCAGGGTCAGGGGGAAAAATGTAGACACACCGCTGCTAGTCTCCAAGATTGACTTTTCCAGCACAAAAGTGGGATACGAGCTGCCCACCGAGCCAGGCAGGTTGCCTTTGCTTGGACGGGCTCCCTAGTCCCCCCTAGAAAACAGGCCTCCACTGCACTCCCACCTGCTGGCCTGGGCGCAAAGCTGAGGGCCACAACCAAGGTTTCTCTCTGGGGCAGTTCTGGAGAACGATGAAGAGATCAAGCAGCTGAACCAGGAGATTCGCGACCTGAACGAGTCCAACTCAGAGATGGAGGCTGCCATGGTACAGCTGCAGTCCCAGGTGGGTGGTGCTGCCCACCTGCACGTACGCCCTCTCCCTCCCCACCGGAGAGGTCCTGGTCCTCAGCCTGAGCTTCAGTGAGGCAGGAAAACGGAGCCCCTTATCAAACTTGCTGCCAAGCTGAGCTGATGGGCGTAGCGCTCAGCGAGACTCAGAACATGCCACACCCGCCCGCACTGGCTGTTCTTCCAGCGGTAAGGGGTCTTCAGGTGGCCCTGCCGGGGGTCCCATCAGGGTTACTGGTGCCATCAGAGTTGGCTGCTAGCCCTGTAGGAGTAGCACCACAGTACTACACAGTAGGAGTAGCACCACCAGGTGGGTTCTGGGGGTCTGGCTGGAGCCTGCCTCTACCACAGTACTGCCATACGCCAGCCGAGTGACCTGGAAAACCCGTTGACAATCTGCATCTTGATGTCCTTGCTGGTGGAGTGAAGAGAAAAATAGGAGTCAACTCTGTGAGGTTGTTGTGAGGTAAAGACATTTGTATGAGGAGGAGCCTGACCCAGAAAGAGCCACTGTTGCCATGTGATAGAGTTACACGTTTCTTTAAGGGTATTTGTCATCTCTCTGATTTCCCCAAAATGAACATTTGTCATCAGGAAAAAATGCAGCGAAAGCCTTATTCCGAAAAGAAGACAGTGCCCTGTCCTTAGCTGTCGAGTAGGGGGCTGGAGCAGAACCTGGAGCACAGAAGGAGTGGCCACACATAGCTGTGTCCCCTATGGCTTGAGGGGCAGAGGGACAAGGAGGTACTGGGCCCTGCAGAATCTGAGGGCAGGAAGGACAGATGGGAAGGTGGTGAGGCTCCCTCCCAGAGGCTGCAGTGTGACACATTGGAGCTCTACATGTCTTGTTCCTCTGTTCCTTCCTCCACTGGAAAACAGGCTTTCACGCTGACCTCCTGTGTAAACAGAGCATCAGCCCATGGAGATTAGGAAGGATTTTCATTCTGCAGCACTTTCCCCAGGTTCCCAGGCAGTAGAAGCAGAGGAGTGTTGGGGCGTCTCTGGGTGCCGAGACATATCACTGTGTGACTGCCACCCTCTGTCCCTCACTGCTCCCTCCCTTCTCAGAGTGTACCCTTGGGGCAGCACCTCTGATTTCTCCCTTTTTGCTGATTTCCACCTTTTTATTTATCGGCATCCATTTGGAAGGACCGAGAGGCCCCTTTCCTCTAGAGGGAGTTTTGAGTCATGTGCTCTGCCGAAGGCTCAGGCAGAGAGAAGGCAGGCCCCTAACTTCTACTCCCAAGTGTTTTAAGCCAAAGATTTGTCACCAGGTGACGAAGCATGGTGTTTCCCAGCCACGTGGTTGGAGGAAAGCACTCTACCTGAGCCATAGCTTTCTAAAAGGCAGCTTACCTGTCTCTATCTGGGGACAGCTTAATGTGTCACACATGTCATGTGAACTTGCCTCTGCCCTCCTTAAGATGCGGTCAGGTTGGGGGCTGCCCTCCCAAGCAAGTCTTCTCCAGATCAGGCCCCAGGGAAGGTTTCCCACCTTCCCCATGCTGGCTGTGAATGTCTGCATAGGGTTATGCAGACCCTGAGACTCACCTGATCGCTTGAGCTGCTCCGGGTAGGCCGGACTGCCCATGACCCGTAGCCCTGCTGTCACTGTCACTCTCAGGGTGTGCTGGAGGAGTCATTGACTGGCTCCACTCAGCTAGGAGTGGCTGTCTTCCACAGCTTTATTAAGGCACTTTGTTGGCCTTTCTGGTGGGGAGAAAACCCAAAGGCAGCCAGACACCCCACAAAGTGCGTGCAGTATTCCCATTACAGACAAGGAAGAAGAAACATGGCGAGGTTAACTGCACGGCTAGTGGTGGGCTGGGATTTGAGCCCAGGGTGCTCAGAGTCTGTGTTCCTCTCTGCCCCCGTATGACAGATGTGGCATAGAAACCCATGGTCCCACACCACTCCTGGCTGAGTCGCTGTGTCCCCTCCTCCATCCAGGGACCAGAGTCCCTACGTCTTTGCCTTCTCCCAGAAAGACAGCAGATGTGTCACAGTTAGCATGCTGGGTGTGTCCCAGGAGGACATGATATGGTTCATGGGGCCCCCATGACAGGAGGCATTTCCCACTTTGGTCTGGTGCAGATCTCCTCCATGGAGAAGAGCCTGAAGAATATCGAAGAGGAGAACAAGCTCATTGAGGAGCAGAATGAAGCCCTGTTTCTGGAGCTGTCGGGCCTGAGCCAGGCCCTCATCCAAAGTCTCGCCAACATCCGCCTTCCGCACATGGTGAGCAGTATGTGGCCCTGTAGGCACACCAGTGAGCTTGTGGCTGACTGTCCCCCCTCCCCCCGCCAGGACTCTGGGGAGGGCAAGGAGGGCGGGGCACACCTCTACCTCTGGGGTCCTGCCAGAAGGGCAGGTGCTCTGCCCGACAGGCTGCTGGCCACAGTGGTCCCAGCTGTCCCAAAGAGCTTATGGATCCACAGCAGGATGCTTATGGTTGTTTCAGCCCAAGGGTGCCAGTGGTGGCCCTAGTAGGTGTGAGGAGATGGGTTTGATGTCCTGCCACAGACTTCTGTGGCTTCTGAAAATCACGGGACCCACCGTGTGGATGGAGCTTGCTAACCTGGTTCTGTTCTCCAGGAGCCAATATGTGAGCAGAATTTCGATGCCTACGTGAGCACCCTCACTGACATGTACTCCAACCAGGAGTGCTACCAGAACCCCGAGAACAAGGACCTCCTGGAGAGCATCAAACGGGCCGTGAGGGGCATCCAGGTCTAGACCCCATCACTCCAGAGCCACCCCGCCCATCGGGACATCCGGGGCAGCCCAACTTGGCTCCCGCGCTCACCTCCCTTGCCCTGCCCCCGCAGTGGGGAGTCCCAACTCACAGTGACTTCCAGTTGGCAGCCCAGGGAGGCCTCAGTTGGGCTTATCCACAGGGGTGCCTGGAAATCAGTGTCTTTCTCGTTGCACTTGCCAGGCTGGAGGCCTTGACCTCCCCACACGAATGCAGGGCAGGGCATGAAGTATTACAAAGTGATTTATTTTTGTTTTTTGAAAGAAATCTGACGAGCAGCTCAAAGTCTCCAGTGAAAGCTCATGGACAAGGTTCTCAGGGAAGTTTTGGAGTTTGCAACCACAGTATTCCTTTGTCTGTCGAGGCTGGGAGGGTAGCCGTGGGCACGGGGCGGGTGGTGCGTGTGACAGTGTCAGCCTGGAGCATGTGCCCCTGGGCACACGTCTGCTCAGTGAGGTCAATGTGGCAAGTGTGTTTTCTGTTTTCATTTAACTCAGTTTTGTCTTAAGGATGGAATAAAGCACTGTTCCAGAGGGTTAGAAACAGACCTGCAGCCCATGGCCAACTTGAGGACTCTAACCTGGGAGCCCCTGGAAGTTCCACGTTAAAGCACCTCACTTCCAGGGGCAGCTGGCACCCCAAGCCCGCACAGACACGTGCAGGCTTGGGGTCACGCTCCCCCTCGGGGCTGCCGCCTTCAGACCCAGGTCTGGGTCAGGGCCAGGGTCTCTGGCTGTCTGTGCGTCCACTCATGCCTGTGACCCGTCACTGCCGCTTTACCTGGGTCGTGGCCGAGCTTGACTGGGGTGGAGGTGGCATCAGCAAGGTCAGGGGATAAATCCCTAATTAGGAGACCACCAAGGTTTCACTTCTTTTTAGATCCATTCAAGACGCGAAAAAAAATTTTAATATAATGTGTTAAACACAATGTTCCTAACGTGTAAATAGAGTCCAAATCGGTTGTGACTGCAATTCCAAGTTAGTATTTAAAAGTAGAGAAATTGCACTTCCTGGAAGAAAAAAAAAGTAGTTAGTTTAATTATTCTGTACATTATTTAATTTTGTCAAGATGTAAGTATTTATATTCACAACCTCTTGTGTTAACATTTGCTATTTATTTAACATTTTTATTTATTAATTTTGTACTGTTTCAACTAGACCCCACACCAGGACACCATGAGAGGGAAACAGATGAAATCAAAGCAAAATTGACTATTTGACAAGAGATAGGCCACAAAAAAATCTTGCTATAACTTCTATATATAGAAGTCTTCTTATAATTTTGATGCAACCAAGTTATTTTTTATATATTTTGTTATTTATTCTTTTAATAATGGAATTTTTTAAAGAGTATTTTGTAACTGAGGAATTTTGATAATTTGGGGATGTTTCCCCCCTGGTCCAATGGAAAGAAAGACTTTTTGGTTTTCTTCATCCCTTCGGTTCCTTTTGTTTCAGGCACGGACAACAGCAAGTGGAATTCTGTATTTATTATTTATTTAAGTGTAGCGCAGATGTGTGTGCTCTGGCGTGTTTCTTGTGTTGCGTCTGTGTGCTGGTTCTTGATGGCTGAGTCATGCTGCTGTGAAGGAGTGCTGGCCACAGGCAGCACCGAGCAGTCCCCGCTCACAGGCTCCCTGCTCCTCCGACAGCTCCGAAACTGTGACCCCCTTCCTCAGGAAATGCGTGGAACCCACAGCACAGCACTTCTCGGTGTGTTTGCAGGGTGATTTCCTAATAAAAGTCCACTCTGACTGTGTGGGAGCGGTCTGTACTGTGCCGGCGGTCTGTGTCCCTGAGAGCCCTAATGAGTCACCTTCCTGGGG